GTATTATGTTGCGGGTACCGTCGTCGCATGGTATTATTGTGATGGTACCATCGTCTGATAGTATTATGGTGAGGGTACCATCGTAACATAGTATTATGGTGAGGGTACCATCGTAACATAGTATTATTGTGAGTGTACCATCGTCTCATGGTATAATGGCGAGGTTGCCATCGTTTCATGGTATTATGGTGATCGTACCATCGTCTCATGGTATTATGATGTGGGTACCATCGTCTTATGGTATTATTGTGAGGATACCATCGTCTCATAGTATTATGGCGAGGTTACCATCGTCTCGTGGTATTATGATGTGGGTACCATCGTCTCATAGTATTGTTGTGAGGGTAACATCTTCTCATTGTTAATTTATTATTGTGAGGGTAACTAAGTTGGCATTATGATTAGAAATATCGGATCAAACAAGTATTCCACTCACTGAAAAAGTTGACTAAACTTACACTTATGTACAATACAAACGGACCCGGACCAAATTTCCAGATTTGTATCGGTCAACAGTTATTTTCTATATATATTTATCACAGTAAATACAAAAAATCAGATGTCATGGACAATTTGATCTAGATTAAAATATTTTGAATTTTATGAAAGAATTTATTTTATTAACTTTTTTACCTCTTTCTATTTGAACTAAAATGGCAGCTTAAAATTTCATGAGATGACTAATATTATTTTTTTTCCTTATTTCAATTAAACAAATTCTTTCAGAAGCATCAAATTTGGAAATACATATTCTCACTAACAACCAAATAGTTAATCACCAATCTTCATATCTGTTACATTGTGTGCGTTCAATGAATACAGAGAATTTAAATGAATAAATTCCACCTTGAACCTTACTTGTGAAAAAGCAGATATTTTTTCAATGCTATAGTATTGTAAATCTTGCACTTTATCAATTTAAAGTTATCTAGATGTATTGATTAAATATATATTGATTCATTTTCCTTTTGTGATAAATGTCGCGACGCACAAAGTATCGTTGCGAGTGAAAACTATCGTTCACGCACTGTTCTTCCCCGTGAGAATTTTGAAAAGTTGGCAGGTATGTTTTAGGGGTATTGCGAATCTTCAGTCAGTTATAGCGCTGGCCTATGTAACCTCAGGTGAGGACTCGAGGTGCGTGGGTTGATGATCCCTATCTGTGCTGGTTTGCATTTCTCCGGAAACTGAGAAACGAACCGGTCTGTGCTGATGTGTTCTTGGGAAAGACCCTTTATCCTTATTGCTTTGGATAACATGTGACAAGGTAAGCATCATCACCGGTCTGTGCTGATGTGTTCTTGGGAAAGACCCTTTATCCTTATTGCTTTGGATAACATGTGACAAGGTAAGCATCATCATCCTTAAGGAGACCCCGCCTCCAAATCACCCTGGCTATTCACGAGAAGATATAAAAAAAAATAATCCTATTTTAATTATATTGGGTGATGGCACCATCGTCTCATTGTAATTGTCATATGTTTAGTATACTTTAATCTCACTGTTTATTTTGTTCTTGCGAAGGTACCATGGCCCCGATATTATTCTGAAGTGCATTTGTGATATTTGGAAAATATTTGCAAATGGTTCTAGAGTGTCTCCGTGGTGCTTCGTTCAGGATTGCTATTTTGATGGAATTCCACCGAATACCTTGTGTAAAATGGTTTTCAGTACTCACTAAACACAATATTACCCCTATCTTAAATAGTAGTTACAAAACACGGTTCACATCGCTTGCATGTCACGTTCATTCGATTAGCTAATGAAAGTCTCGTTGCCAATAAAACCTATCACGGAATTTATACTTGATTGATATGGATCTGTTGCGATGAATTATTAATTGATTTTTAAATGATTTGCAGACAGCTTAATGCTGAATACGGTTTGTAACGTTTAGGACTTTAAAAAGAAGATCTTGTTTAAAGTGTACTCGGAAGTTTATCGGTTATTCTTGTCTCCTGCCACATAGTCGACCGGGGCTCGATTTCCGAAAGGGGACGCGGTATTCAACCTCATGTTCTCTACCCTTGATGGTTTGTGTTTATCAGAAGGCTGTGATAACAGACCGCCCTGTGCTCACGTAACCTTAATTGCTCTGAATGACATGCAACGCGCCTCCCATATGTCATTCATTTAAGTAACCACCAGCTACTAAAAGATATACCCCAACTCTAAACAGCCCTGGCTGTTGACCAGCAAACAGCGCGATGTGTCAATCTGGTCTGAGATCGATGCGGTGGTATCTATGCTAAAACATTCAGTCGATGTAGCATGTATATGGTTCAAGTTTAAATACGCCTCTAACACGCACCGAGGATTACAGGTATCGGGGGTATAGCTCAGGACCGGTTCTACGTAGTTAACACCTGATAAGACTGTTCAGGTGTAATCGTTATAGTGTAATTTGATTGTGTTTATTGATTGTATATCTATCTATTATAAAATATCTCTTTTAATTCCGTTCTTCTCATTCATTTTGCAACGACGGAGTGAGCTATATACGACTTTCGTTTATGTTGATATTTTTAGACCTGGTGAAAATTACTTAATTACACATTTGATGTCAGAGCGTTCATTAAACGACTTCAGATGTAGGGACTCGGAGAGCGTTCTAACTGTCAGGTATAGGGACTCAGAGAGTGTTCTAACTATCAGATGTAGGGACTTGGAGAGCGTTCTAACTATCGGATGTAGGGACTCGGAGAGCGTTCTGTCAGGTGTAGGGACTCGGAGAGCGTTCTAACTGTCAGGTATAGGGACTCTGGGTACATTCTATCGGATGTAGGGACTTGGAGAGCGTTCTAACTATCAGATGTGGGGACTCAGAGAGTGTTCTAACTATCAGATGTAGGGACTTGGAGAGCGTTCTAACTATCAGATGTAGGGACTCGGAGAGCGTTCTAACTATCAGATGTAGAGGACTCAGTGAGCGTTCTAACTATCAGATGTAGGGACTAGGTAAGCGTTCTAACTATCAGGTGTAGGAACTCCGGGTACGTTCTAACTATCGGATGAAGGGGCTCGGAGAGCGTTCTAACTATCAAGTGTAGGGACTCGGAGAGCGTTCTTACTATCAGATGTAGAGACTCGGAGAGCGTTCTAACTATCAGATGTAGAGACTCGGAGAGCGTTCTAACTATCAAGTGTAGGGACTCGGAGAGCGTTCTAACTATCAGATGTAGGGACTCGGAGAGCGTTCTAACTATCAAGTGTAGGGACTCGGAGAGCGTTCTAACTATCAGATGTAGGGACTTGGAGAGCGTTCTAACTATCAGATGTAGGGACTTGGAGAGCGTTCTAACTATCAAGTGTAGGGACTCGGAGAGCGTTGTAACTATCAGATGTAGAGACTTGGAGAGCGTTCTAACTGTCAGATGTAGGGACTCGGGGAACGCTCTAACTATCAGATGTAGGGACTTGGTAAGCGTTCTAACTATCAGATGTAGGGACTCGGGGAACGCTCTAACTATCAGATGTAGGGACTTGGTAAGCGTTCTAACTATCAGGTGTAGGAACTCCGGGTACGTTCTAACTATCGGATGAAGGGGCTCGGAGAGCGTTCTAACTATCAAGTGTAGGGACTCGGAGAGCGTTCTTACTATCAGATGTAGAGCCTCGGAGAGCGTTCTAACTATCAGATGTAGGGACTCGGAGAGCGTTCTAACTATCAAGTGTAGGGACTCGGAGAGCGTTCTAACTATCAGATGTAGGGACTCGGAGAGCGTTCTAACTATCAGATGTAGAGGACTCAGTGAGCGTTCTAACTATCAGATGTAGGGACTCGGAGAGCTAGAGACTCGGAGAGTATTCTATCTATCAGATGTAAGGACTTGGAGAGCGTTCTTACTATCAGATGTATGTACTCGGAGAGTGTTCTAACTATCAGATGTATGGATGTAGGGACTCGAAGAGCGTTCTAACTTTCAGATGTAGGGACTCGGAGAGCGTTCTAACTATCAGGTGTAGGGACTCGGAGAGCGTTCTAACTTTCAGATGTAGTGACTCGGAGAGCGTTCTAACTATCGGATGTAGGGACGCGGAGAGCGTTCTAACTATCGGATGTAGGGACTCGGAGAGCGTTCTAACTATCAGATGTAGGGACTTGGAGAGCGTTCTAAATGTCAGGTGTAGGGACTCGGAGAGCGTTCTAACTATCAGATGTAGGGACTCGGAGAGCGTTCTAACTATCAGATGTATGCACTTCGAACTTCATTTCTAGACAAATTTTGTCTAACATTTTACAAAGGTTAATTATTAGTGTACGTTGGACATTCAGGTTTTTCAGGGACCCAAGGTCAAGGTCACTCTTGCTATCAACAACTGATTCATTTGCTTCATTCTTCCATAGAACTAGGTAAAACCTAATGAAACGATCATGTATGAGTGTACTTGGACATTTTTATGTTCCATGGGTCCAAGGTGAAGGCCAGGATCAGCTTTGCTATATTTGTTGACTTTATCCTACCATCGATTTTGGTCAAAGTTTATCCAAAGATCAATTATGAGCATGCGTCGGACATCGTTGTGTTTCGGGGCCCAAGGTCACCCTTTACTCTATATAGAAAACCATCGACTGATTCAATTTAAACACTTATCAATTTCATTCTTTCATGGAATTTGGTGAAAGTGTATGTGAAAATCAAGTATGAGTATACTTTGGACATTGTGTTTCATGAGTCAAAGGTCAAGGCCATGGCGGCGGTGGTTATTCATGTCTGGCGTTTTCTAGTTTTATTTATTTGAATAATAATTTGATTTTTTTCGTTCAACAATATTCTTGTAGTTGTAAATATAATTATCCTAAGAAAAGTTTATGGACAGTGTAAACTTAAACAAGAATTTGAAATCCTCTGTGTACGGTTCTTCCCGTTCCAGTCGATGATTTCTATCCGTATTAATACAAAATCATGTTTCATTTCTACCGCGCAAATTAACCTGGAATTTGATTTGATCGGAATGTTTACAGATAACATTACTACACAATATAATTGTTCTTTCAGTTGTGACACCTAGAATACATCCTTACATCCTTATATATCACCGGACGCTGGACACTGCAGGATGGACGAAGGAAGTGTATGGACGGACAAAACACCCAATGGGCTATGAAAGGACTACACAAATGGAATTATACATAAGTACATAAGGTAAATACAAAGGCAAAGATTTAGTCAAACAGCCCGACCCATAGAGTAAAACTGACCAGAGTAAAACCATAGACAAGCCGAGACATGGTCATTGTCGTCAAATGGTGGGATGTTCTGTGGACCTTCTGGTCTGTCGACATTTTTTTTTAATTGATAGGTAAAACAAAATAATCGACAGGTGACTTTTTTATTTAACGTGTGTGATTTTTTTCAGTAATGCATGAGTCAATGTAAATTTAATGTGTATTGTTTCCTTGTTCAGTTGCTGTTCCTCATCGAATCTGATACTGGTTGGGAAAACAAAATTTATTCATAAGGATTTTAACAGATAAAAAGTGTTGTTTTTTTTGAGAAGCATAAGTTTAGTAGATTTATTGGGGTGTAGGCATCTCTTGGTTACTTGTTTTGCCAAATCGATTTTGAAGAAAGTAAATGGCGATATAGCCTGAGTTGATTTGGTACATTTAGACGCTATCTCTGAAGGTACGAAATGGGTCGTTCTCCTATTCTATTGTAGATTTCCCCTGTTAAGCATTCTCAATGCTAAGTGTTGCCACAATCGCCATCTTGGTACCGGTATGTCAAGTTCTTATGATTAAACATACCGTTATTGTTCTTTGCAGGCCCCTGTACAGTGAGCGACATGACGTCACCTCTCTGTGACGGGAAACGCGCGGGGTGTCTTTGGGGAGTATTCATCTTGGCGACTTTTACATACCTCCTTCTCTATCTTAAAGTGACCAATAGAAATACAACAAAACATCAAATGACGGCGTACTGGCTGCAGTGGATTTCTCTAATGGAGTCGAAAAATAGATCTACATTGACGTTACTCTCAGCAAATGATGAAAATCAATTTAATTATTCTACACATTGTCAGAATTCCACAAAGGAAAGTTTGGATTTGTGTGAAATGAATTCTACAAGGTCTATAGATGGAGTCGACGTTAAAGGTTATATTCCTTTTAAGAAATTTGAATACCCTCTCCAAATTGACATGAACGATTTAGTATCTAAACTGAAGACAAATAAGGACGTACCAACAAAGCCAATATTCCCTTATCCACATACTTTTATGAAATCTCCTACATGGATGTGTGAAATGAAAAGTGTTCGTCTGCTTATTTTAGTAAAATCAGGCGTTGGCCATTTTAAAAGGCGGGAAATGATTCGTAACACATGGGGAAATTACTCAGGCTTTAATACAGGGGTCGTGACCTTATTTCTGCTAGGGTTAACAAAACACGTGATGTATCAACGACAGATATTGCAAGAACATAACAGCTATGGTGACATCATACAGATGACGTTTTTTGACGCCTACTACAATAATACACTAAAGACGGTTGGTGGGATAAAATGGGCACGAAATCATTGCAACCAATCAAAATTTGTTTTATTTACAGATGACGATTTCTACATAGCAACAGACCTGTTGTTATATTACACTGAAACTATAAAACAGCACGAAAGGAGTTCAGTATTCAGAGGCGCCATGTGGAAAAATGGTCAACCGATTAGAAATATACACAATAAATGGTACATATCTCGCCAAGACTATCCTTTTGATCGCTATCCGGATTTTATCGCGGCCGGTTTCATGTTATTATCTATAGAGTTCCTCATAGATTTAGACTTGGCCATTCCGTATACTAAAAAGTTTATTTTTGACGATGTATATATCTCAATAGTTGCTTATAAATTACATGTTAACCCAGTGAATATGAAAGGTGTACATATACACAAGTTTCCGTACAATCGGGATGGATTCCTACAAGTGATTGCCTCCCACGGGTACGACAGGTCTTCTACCTTACAACGGGCTTGGTGGATACACCAGAATCGACATATACATAAATATGGCCGAAAGAGCATCCGAGCTTACAGTGTGAGAGCTACTTAGGATATCAACAGGATATTACAACATGGAATAATTTGGTAAAATTAGGACATTTCTAATGTAAAAAGGGGGCATGGCGTGTTTCGGATGAACTTTCCTGATCTGACGTGGAGGAAGAAATGATATGATGTGTGTCGATGTGTGCTTTAAACAGACGTTTCAAAATTGGGTGATTTGTCCTAAACTTTTAGACGACATAAATACTTTTCACTTCTGACAAGAACAGGTACGCTATCTAATCAATTCAAATATTTCTTATAATTTCTAACATAAGGATATTTACACTGAAATAATATTGGTATAATGTACAAAGAATTAATATTTGCACTGCAATCCGAAATTCAATAATATGCAAAACAGATTTTCATTTTCTTTATATCCAAATGTAAATTGTTTTTTGAATTTTTTACAGTCTCGCCAAATTTTAATTCCGAGCGAAATGTTTTCAAGATATTATTATGGAAGTGAAATTAATCGTATTCCCCCGTTCTATTTAGACCCTGACATTAAAGTATCGCGAAGTCATCAGCATGTTACGCGAGTGAAATATCAAATTATTTCACGATTTTAAGATGGTTATTATCACAGAACTTTTATCCATTGTAACCTAAGTGAAAAAATCCAGTGCTGATTTCATTGAGTACCGCGATATTCGGACCGTGAAATCTAATCCACCAGAATGTTAGTGTATATTGTGCTGAGAGAGAAAGGGTAAGCTGTTAATTGATTAACTGTCATGTATTTTATATTTATTTACAATTGAAATATAAAAAGACGAGTTTCCGAGAAAAGAGAAAGCAGATTTTCCCCTGAATCACATTCACTGGAATCGAAATAAGAAAACAAACATCAGGACGCGAGGAAATATGAACAAACAAGGAAAGGCAGCAAAAGAAACCGAACAGGTGTATAAAAAACAAACGAACAAAAAACACACAAAACAAGATCTGCAACTGAGGAAACGTCAAAACAGGTAATCGCTGGTTATCTTGTAGCTTTAGAGTAACAAAATTACAGAAGGACGTCAAATTTTGGTACCAATTTTATCACACTACATGTAAATTCTGATTGTTTATCTAAGAAAAATTCCCCAAGTTAAACCTTACATTTACTGCAAAATACAAATTCGAGCATTGGATGGGAATATATCGCGAAAACATCAAAGGAGGACCCGGCTAATATGTGTCGTCTATTAGAGGCTGTGTGGACAGAGAGGGCTGGAGGAATGTCCTGAGTGGTTAAGTGCATAGCCTGTCACACTAACTATGCTGATCAATGATGGAACTTGATGTGTACGTTTTTAATGTATTTTCATTTTGTTATTTAATATACATGATATTAACTTTACATGCATACTTCGTGCCAAATTAATATGCAACAATAGTGCTATATGATTGATTTATTTTACAGCCATGCCGCAGAGTGATCTATTATCACATTAGCTGGACATATTTTATCAGTTTATTTGAACACAATGAGAATTTAGTTAAATATTTAATTGCGGTTTCCAACCAATATAAAGATGCCAAAACCCCTATGGGAAATTAAAGCGCGTAATTACATTTACTATCCGATTTTGTTACGTGCCGATGTGGTTCTCCATGGGTGTTAAAAAACTGACCAGAATAACAAACAGGGAGAAACTTGTTCCAAGACTCATAACCTTATATTGTCTAATATTAGAAAATGTTACGTAATGTCTACTGTAAAATTACAGAGAAGCCATTAAAATGTCCGCATAGAAATGTGTGAAGTATTGTTCGATGATGCTGTTAACGGCCAGTATGACCGACCACCGCCTACACTGACTATACAAATGTATTTTCTGTTACGAGAGAGACAGAAAGCTTCAATGCTTAAATTACGCTTGTTTAAGTAATATTTGTTTTAAAATAAAATGCCAAAGAAATATCTACGCCTGGGTGTTAACTTTATTTAAGTTATGTTTGAAATGTTCGTTTGGTACTTAAACGTATAGGTACTATGCAACTAATGAATTGAAGTATCAATATTCCATCAAACTGTGGTATAACGATATGTTTTTATTGTGGGACAATATATGTAATGGGATCGTGCCCTTGAGTCAGAAACTAAACCAATCGCCATGGATGTCATATGACGTGCTTCCCGTATGTTGTCAAGGAGACCACACCTCAAAATGACTTCGCTCTCTCACGTTAAAAAAATCAAGACTGAAACACTTCATTAAATGTCATTTACTAGGATTACAGAGAAATATTACCATCGCAGGGAATTCAGACTTGTGACCTTGGCAGACAATGGTTACAAGTGACCATTCTTATGCAGTATTAAAATTCCAGCAAATACGAAATTCATGCATGTAAAGGCTGTTTGATATTAATAGATCTGAATATATTTTACGCGTTAATTGTGCATGAAATGGCGGAAGGGAGGTAATTCCAGCGCCTTCCAAGCTTCAGTCAAATGAGAATGACATGTTAGCCATTCATTAAGGTACTTACTGTAAGTTAGTTAATATTCAAACAGACCGATCAATCTCTCAAAGACAAGAGACCCAAAAGTTCTATTTAGTTCACCTGGATGTATCAGCTTTCACATATGAATATTCCTATTTCCTTTATTATATTTGAAAAGTTATTTTTGCAAAAGATGAGGTTCAGGACTAAATTTCACTAAAATATCTTCATCAAAACAGAAAAAAAGAAATGATTTTAAACTCTGATCTATACTGTCAATATTTATTCCAAATACAGGGTCCAGCCTCTCTGCTTCCATGGGGGCCAAACTCACCCTTTACACAAAAATTAGTCCTCAGATAGACTTCCACCTGTCATTCCAACAGAAACGAAAGATTTCAAAGAATTTGCTACTTATCCTCTACAGGGACAGTCTAAAACTCAGACCTCTGGGGCCGAGACCCAATGTGCATTTAAAATTAGCTTCTCTGTCTCCAAGAAGTCTTCAGACCAAATTTGGACAAGATCGTGTCTCTCCTGCAGAAGAAAGATTTTAAAGCAATTCCTCTAGATCCCCTTTAAGGTCTCTACCCTGAGGGGTCAGTCCCATTGTCGATATAAAATTGAGTCCCCTTCATCAAAGGATGCTCCGAATCATTTTGGACAAAATTTTATGATTCTTTGAGATGAATAAGGATTTGAAAGAATTGGCAAACTTTTCCTTATATGTCCCCACCCCTCAGACCTCTTGGAGTTGGGGCAGATCCACCATTAAGTACAGTATTGGTTCCCCTTACCACAAGGATGATTCTCACCAAATTCAGTAAAAATCGATTCAGTTGACTATTTAGGATTTTTTTTAGAAAAATTTGATGGATGGATGACAGATGCAGCACTATACCAAAGCTCACTTGGCCCTTCAGACCTGACCAGCTGGAAACAGTCACACAGATATAAATAACAAAGGCAACATAATGTTTCGGGATTATATGTATACTATGTAAATAACTCAAAAATGAATGTAAGCCCAACTTGATTACTCCAGACAAAGGTCACTACAACAGGTCAGTCTGGTAAGACTTTACAGGGCATTACATTTACTGCTGGAGCCACAGACATCAGAGAGGAGGCAACTATTCCTTCCTAGATTCAAAGGTACCATATAAGGTAATAAACAAATCAATGGTACCTAATATGGTAATTAACAAATCAATGGTACCATATTAGGTAATAAATCAAGGGTACCTTATAAGGTAATAAACACATCATTGAAGAAATCATTTATCACTTTTATTCTTTTGTATATATCCAGCCTTAAGTGTACATACTTATTTATACATAATTAAGTCAATGGAACATGCATTAAGAGACCAACACTAAGTAAACCTGGGTCAGATTCAGCCTCTTCACACACCATGATCTAATACATACCAGTATATACAACTCTCCTACAGTGTGTGGTAGATTTTGTTGATGTACCACTTGTGATTACTTTAAACCATAATAATTTAGTTAAAAACTAATCAAAACCATCTCCTATATGTGTGAATGAAAACACTGAATTAACATTGTTTAGAACTCCTGTCACTTTTGATAAGCTTCTTTGAGATGATTTGATGAACCCATTACAGGCAACCATTAAAATTACTATAGAGATGAGTGATGTCTAATAGAAGTGGGCTTTATAGCCATCGTCCCCTTAAGGAAGGACAACTCTTTCATCACAGCACTTAATTTATTCTTTATCAGATATCATATTCTCATTCTAGATTAATAATTTTAATTCAGTCACCTTGATTGAGAAGAATGTAATGTCATGTACATGTGTACAAGGTGCCTCAGCTGAAAACTGTTATATCTTTACCATGATGCTGTAACTAGCAAAGTTTGGTGTAAGCCTGTAATAAATATACTTCACTTATAATAACAAAACCTGTGGAACTGTTTAATGTTGAGAACACTCCTGTCTACATATAAATTCTACAATCTTAGCATATTTTCATTTTGAAGCCATGATGAAATCCCTTCTCAAAATCCTTCATATCACATGACCGCACATTTTAATATTAATACTTACGATCTCATGATATTATATGAAGACCGATACATTTATGCATAAACATGACATGGTAATTCATGTATTCACCAACATATAGTGATCAGGTTGTAGACTTCAAAGTTATAAGAATGGTATTGTCTTTATATGAAACATGAGTTCTTTTGATACACTAACCCTTCAAATCACATAAATGTAGCACTCATATCTGGCAATTATGATGTATGAAAATGATATTTTTTAAACATGATCTTATTAACATTTGCACTATTGGTACTTTGGATCATTTAAGAACAAGAAAATAATGATCATTACACACTAAATTGTTTATAAGCAAAATTTTGGAATTGATGAAATGATCTTCACTATTACTACCCTGTTGTTTAATTCTGAAGGAAAGCCCTCTAGGAATGTTAAAGGTGTAGCTACAACAACAATTAACAACTATTATGGAAAAACTGAGAGAATCTGAGATGTTACTTCAAACATATCCATCAATTTGGCTCTCTTACTCCAAACTCCTCAATATCATACATACAAAATCTTACTCCAAACTCCTCAATATCATACATACAAAATCTTACTCCAAACTCCTCATAATCATACATACAAAATCTTCTTACTCTCATACTCCTCATAATCATACATACAAAATCTTACTCCAAACTCCTCATAATCATACATACAAAATCTTACTCCAAACTCCTCATAATCATACATACAAAATCTTACTCCATACTCCTCATAATCATACATACAAAATCTTACTCCATACTCCTCATAATCATACATACAAAATCTTACTCCATACTCCTCATAATCATACATACAAAATCTAAAGTGAATCTTTCTTTATAATTAAACTTTTTAAAATTAGACATGTCCACTGTTTCAATGTCACCAATACATATCTCTATGTAATTGAGTCCTGTAATCATGTATTTTGCTGTTAGACTTGCCCGCATTTGAGGACCCACTCACTGAATACAAATCTTCAATGATATGCGACAGGATTCATCTGAATTATGAAACAGGACACTCCTTAATTCCTACCCCATTTTCCCCAAATGTCACTGGAATACAAATTTATTATTCCAAAGTATAAGTTATATATCAATGTTTCTAAGGACAAATACCCATACTCACAATGATAAATTACACATAACATAAACACACTTCATGTTCTATATATGCTCTTACACAAAAATGTCTTTGAGAGTTTAGCTATCACATGACTTTCAAGTCAGATTTATGAACTGGTCCAAACTTGGCAAAGGTGGCACCTTTTTCATTTTTCCATTTTTACTGATTAGACGTGACGTTTTTGAGATAGGTTTGACGGCACCAGCAGGTCGGCCCTGGTGTTGTGTAAAGGATGTATGTCCTCCAAGTCCATCATAACCCTTACGAAAGACACTGTTAAAGTCTCCAGCACTTGCTTTTTTCTTGAAGATGTTAAAATTACCGAGACCAGTAATGTTGCTAATGTCCTGTATATCTCGCTTAGCCTTTTTCGCAGGATTTTCTGAACATGCTGAAGATATTTTAACAAACTTCATCTGGTTTTCCTCACAATGAAATCGGTTTCGTGTATTAGGACTAGGTTTTACAAATTCAGGTGATGCCATATTAACGTTAAGATCAATCTCCCCTGGCGATGATTTCAATTGCTTTGGAGTGATAGGTGCAGGACTTTCCTCCATAAGAGTCTCTACAAAGCTAGAACTAGCACTGGTTGTAGTAGCACAAGGACTTACTATCGCTCGTTTTAAACGACTGAGTTTTTGCTTTAGAGATTCCACTTCCTTTTCTTTCTGTTTCAGATCGTCTTCTGATTTTGTGTAGCACTCTCTAATGGTTGATAATTCTGTAGTGGCCTGACTTAATTCACGATCTTTTGTCAGCAGGTGTCTTTTACATTTACCAAACTCAGATTTTAACTTTTTCTTTTCCTCTTTCACTTGTTGAAACTCACGTTTCATGACCACAAGATATGTAGCCATCTGACGAGTTGATCCATTTTCTCCAGAACTTTGGACAAGGTCTTGAACTTCTTCCTCCGATCCTGTCAATAAAAATGTATTACATTGTTAGCTGGATTATACTTTAAATATTACTGCAAATCTGGTAATTTTTTTGCTACCTACTCCAAATGTCAAAACCTGAACAGATGGTAGGACTTAATTGTCAGCAATTTTGAACTTCTCACGATTAATTTTCAGGTGATAACCAGAATGATACAAAACGTTCCAAATGAAACTATTCAGAAATCTTTGTTACATACAAACTGTCATGAAAATGAAAATCCAAGTTTTACATACAAATCATGATACAAATAGGTACAAAATTTACCTGTTACCAATCTCTCAACATTTTGAAGATCAACAAATTTTTTCTTGATTTTACGGCATTCCTCCTTCTGCATTTTCAGATTGTCCTCTTGACTTTTGAAGTAGTGGAGTTGTTTTCTTAAAGAGGCATTTGTTGTCTGCTCTTGTTTATATAAACGTTGGATTTCTTTCTTGCTTTCTTCAACATCTTGACATTTTTGTATCGCTGCATTTTTTTCGTCAACAAGATCACTTTTCTCCTTTTTATGTCTGTTGATTTTTAATCTAAGATCTTGGATTTCATTTGAAAGTTTACTGGGATCACTGGTTTCATCATCGCCGTCCTCTCCACCATCAAAAAACAATCTATGGATTATGTTACTTCTGTTGACCCGTGCACGGCAACTTGGACAAGTGCTGGAAGTGGCAAGCCACTTGAACAGACACTCTTCATGGAAGGTGTGGCCACATGGCAAGGCTGAAATACTGACGCTAGCATCATTCACAAATAAATCTGAACAGATACAGCACAGAGCCTTCATAGTTACCTGAAATATAAAGATTTTAATTTGAAGGATGGGATTCATGTTCAAAGTTGACTGACCTATCTTTCTCAAGTTTGTCCATCATATTGACAAATAATGTTTCTTCTCAAACATGGAAAATGAAAAATCTGTCAAAAAGACATGTTCTTTACAAACGAGAGAGGCAAACTATTTGCAGTCTACTGAAAAATATGCATTGAGATACAACATATGTTTTGTAAGCATTTACCTCATGTCTATTACAAAAAGTACAATATTCATAAATACTCTGTAACATCTACTTGGCATATGTTTGCCATTACAGTATAATTTCTAAAGATCTCTATTTTAAATGTCATCGCTGTTTTAAATAAGACATGATAATTTCGTCTTCAGTAAAAGAATTTAACAACATAAATAGAGCGGACTTTGCTGGTAAGGACTAACCCAGCCTTTGGTTAACATGTTAGAACTACTATAGTAGTACCATTAAAGATCATTGGTTGACATCAATATTTTATGTATCAAGTATCATGTTTTATGTAATAAGTATCATACCTTATGTAATAAATATTATAACTTACAAAAAGTATTTCTGGTAAATTAATATAATAATTACTATATTTTATGTAATAAATATTACATCTTATGAGGTATTATATTTTATGTGATAATTAATCAGGAACCTTTCTCTTTACCATGAATAATGACACACAGAGAGTGTAAGGTGTGGGCTATCCTAATGAACTGCTCACTAGACTGTAGCCTGTGGTAATTTACATTTTGTACTAACAAATGCCTCAGAAAATAAGCTCCTGACAGTTTCTATTCATTTCCGTTGCCAAAATGTGTGCCGTTTCCCCAATATTTTCCTAAATATTTCATTATGAAGGCTAAGGCTGCTGTAATATCAAAGGAGAAAAAAACAGACATGCTGCTTCACTTGAAGCTGAACACAATGTCATTCCCAGTATCAATGAAGAAAAACATAAAGGAACCTGCTTCAGGGGACAAGGTACTCAAGTAGGTACTATTCACATACAAAGTACAGATGTATGTCTATGTCAAAGAAGATCTGGATTAGAGCAGAATGGCAGTGGGTGAATGTAGGAATCAGTGACAGACAAATTTAGAACTGGTCAAAAGTTTCCAGTAACTGTATAAAACAGTGATTATAAAATGTAATGACTGAACATACTTACATCCTAACCAGTAGAGGATTAGAGTGTTACGAATATGTCACCTTCATCAGACAAATGACAAGTGTGAAGCATACAAGCACTGATGTAGTGTAAGAGATGATTGGTCAATTCTTTGTTACCCCGTACACTGGGTACATCAGTGCTAGTACGCTTCACACTTGTCATCTGCCTGATGAAACGTCACACTCAAATCTTCTGTTGTTTGTGTTATGAGAACTTCTATTCTAATGACATTACAAAAGTAAAGAAAATGTACATGTTGAATCTTTTACCTATAAATATTTTTATAAAAGCACATGACAGTCATCGTCAGGTTTATTTTTGTAAGCAACGATGTGCTTATATATTATGGGTGAATACTACTATGCTTCTGTTTCTTCAGCAACAAATTTTCATCTACCTGGGGCAACAAAGGATATATGCATATACACATGAACATAGTCAAGTTGCCAAAAAGACAGACTAATGGACAAAATTATCAAATTAATAATTATTAAAGGACATGTACATTCTTACTACTAAAATGATATTAGTTTGAGAAGTTTGATGATAAATTTAGACAGCTAGTATTGTTATTCTTATTATTTATTTATCATATACTGGTATTTGTTGGTGGATCGTGGGTTATGAAAGTTTGAGTATTAAATGGTACCAGTGTGAATGTATCAACAAATGTTCATATTTACATATTTAGACCTTAGATTTAATCTTAAATATAAGATACAAACCTGTATTATTCAGAAAAAATTCCTAATGAACAGGAACTTCTTTTCCATTAAAGATCTAAAGAAAATTTTCTGAAAGTAAAAAATAATCAAACATTACATACATTTTAACCATGGGAATTTGTGCTGGGTACACAGTGCATTTATCAGTTTACTCAAAATTAAGCAATTTCTGATTTCAAATCACAGCGAGCTAAAGCAAATATCCACAGTCCACTATACATCTATGCACAGGTACTGAAGCATCAGCAAACCTGGCTATACTTATATAGGACAAAACTATACATACAGGTGAAGTCTGCCACATTTCTCTTTTATGAATAAAAAACATAGATGAGGAATTTGGTAAATCAGTGAAAAGAATATTTTTGCTCATTTTCAGGTGATTTTTTAAAAATTGTCAAGTTGTACTTTTTCGGTATGGATCTACATTCCGTATTTAATAACAAACACTTAAACAGGTCAATCCAACAGGGGCATAAATCACTGGTCTGGTTTCAATTGCTAAGAATGTTTTGTTTACATTCATGATTTCAACTTTTCAGTATTAATTGGCGATCAGCTGATGATAAATAGAGAAGATAAGTAAATAAAATATTAACTGATCAATATAAACGAGCTCCTGCGAATCATGTGACTGTTCGGATTGGTTTCTGGAACAGAAAGGGGCATTCTGAATGCATAGACGAAGGACGAACTCATAAAGAATGCGATCGATTCGAGAGAGCGCTGAAGGCGCCACAAAAATCCTCCTATGATATTACAACGTTATAAGTATTGAGTTCGCTGGGCTCTTTTACCTATCACGAAGCTTCACGCCCATTCTGCTTGTTGGCATCGTGCTAGATTTCCATCACAACAGACAGAATGACTGATTTTTCACATCAGTGTTTCGTAAGTGGCGCAGAAATTGATCATGCCATGCGTAAACATAACATCCGGTGTAACTAAAATCTGACACGGTCACTAACAAAATATCCGGACACTGTCCGGCAATATATACGATATATTATTAACGCAAGCTAAAAATCTCTCAATCCGTAACGATAATAGGTACTGCCTGGTTCATGACTTCACTGAAGCGTATTTTTTCTTATCAATTTAACTTGTTATCTAAATTTTGCCAGCAAATTTTAACAAGACAGGTCGACATGTTATCGATACTCCATGGGTTATGATCAATTTTTGTTCTCTGCACCCCTGGAACATGTCATGGCAAAATCGAAGGCACAAACGAAGTCATTTTATTGCTTCCAGGAGAAAACACTGACCAATCACAGCCTGGTACGCTCCTTTTGAAGATTACAAAGAGAGACACCCAACTTCAACTGAAACTATTAATACCGTTCATCGACCTCGATATGTACACCAAATGATCGTTTTGGTCTTTTCGTCTTGTCCACAAGGTGTTGCACATGGAACCTTCGATTTTGCCATGAAATGTTCCGTGGTTACAGAGTATTGAGGATGCGTCGACATATCACCAATGATATGTACGATTTTGTTACCAAGGACTTAGATCTCCGTGTTAGGTTATCATCGTTATCGTCGATGTCTTCTTCCACTAGACATCATCGTCATCATCAACCTCATCATCATCATCATCATATCATCATCACCATGAGGTGGTCGGATAGCACAGACCAGACAGTTTTGCATTATAATTATCTTCGCTTAATATTGGATCGTCATGTATGAGCAAATCAAAAGTTAACTTATCACAGAAAGGCTATCGTTGTCTTATTAATAGATTTCGGTTCCGAGTATAAAAGGAACAAACACAAAGATAGTGATAAAAGTCTTCACGTGGGGTGTCGCATCTACTTTTATATGTGTTACTTAAATTTGCTCTAAAGAGGTCGTAATCAATAGAACTGGCACGGTTTCTCAAACGAAAATGAAGAATGTTAAGGTAAACCTCATAACTAAAACACTTTTCAAACATATTTTATTTCTGTCTCGCTGATAATTGATTTCAATCTATACAAACCAGTCAAATATCATTTAATGAAAAATAAACAAGTTCATGTGAACATTTTACTGCGTTGTGAAGGGAAAAAATACTAGAAACTGAAAAGGTAATTTTAATTTATTTTGTGTGTTTTTCACGTGTGACTTTAGTATAATCTACATAGAAACCTACTTGGTAACGGCTACAGATAACATATATATGTTATTAGGTAGGTAAAAAAAAAAAATATCGGACCGTCACCGTTTTGAAGGTCAACAATCAACAACTATTGGAAAATCAAACATTTTACACCTGTGTAAGTATATTCACAGATATTGAAATATGTGTCAACTGTACAATTTCATAATTTTAGATATCTGCAAATTTTCCTCAAAGGATACTCCGTCCCTATTATACATCTTAACAATCAGAGAGCACAGTGTTTGATAAAATCTAAAATTAGATACGATCTATCTTCTTATGAAACAGCGGATCATTGGCTGGATTAGCTGTGTGATTCTAGAAACACAAAACATGTATAAACATGTTAGGTAAATCAAAACGAAACCAGATGACATGTATTTTATAGATGATTCATTTTCTACATTAATGACTAATTATGCTGGAATCGCTGAAAGATTCGATATCACGCGTAGACAAACACAACACCACCCCTCTTTTTTTCATTTTAAAAACAAAACAAACAAAATGATGGCAATGTGGCATTCTATCTAGGGACCATTGGAGTCGGGAACGGACGGTTTACCACTGTGCTACCGTTACGTTACACACGATAAAGTGAAAAATTTTGAAATCTTATTACATATGTAATTCTCTCCAAATATGCAATACAAAACTCAAACAAAGAAAATCAAAGATGACAATTATGTGGCCAGTATTTAAGGAGGGCTTTCAGAAGTACATTATTGAAAAATTACGCTAACATCGCAAAAATATCCATATTATTAAACCATGCACCCAACTACCTACACTTAAAATTCCCCCGAATAATATACATTGCACAAGTCTATTTTTTTTTAAGAAAGGAAAGAAAAAACATTTATTTGTCTTTTTTCTGTTAGTGAAAGCTTAATGTTAGAAGACATATAACATCTATTACAGTGTAAGTATGTGTTTTACATTTCCTATTAACAA